CAATCATATTGGATTAGCATCATTTTAATTCTGGATATCACAAAAAGTCTTTTGGTGAAAACCCACAAATCAATATGCCTATCCATTGAGGACATGCAATAAAAATTATTTCATGATTGCCAACATGGTGGTCATACTTGTTGTCATATTATCATTTTCATTTATGGACAAATTGATTCCATTAGTCTTGTATTGAAAACCCCCTTGTTATTGTGGTAAAATTTGAAGTCATATACACACACGCACATACACACAATTGTTTCATAAGGTATTCCAGACAAATATCTGATAGAGCATGTCACAGAAAATTGCCAATTTCAATCATAACTGGACTCCCCATATGCAGGATAAGTCACTTTTCTAACTGCGATCATCACCACCAGACAACTTGATTTTTTTTTAAGTCTGGGAAGAACATATAAATGAAATCTTCTTTATCAAAATAAAACATCTGGATGAATCCAGTGAAAGCTGCATAAGATCCCTGTCCAAATGTGCTGATGTTAATACAGCCCTGCAACCAACTGAGCAAAAGAGACTTGGCTTACCAAATCCAGAGTGTGTCTTTATAGAGCTAAGTCTCACGGACAGGAACTTGAGAAGTTTGACTTGTGCATGACAACCAATGGCCTCAATGATGTCTGTGATATAGATATTACAGTTGAAAGCAAGGCTATCAGAGATTGCTCTGATCTAGTAAGTAGAGATTTTCAGGAGGTGACTCTGTTCTGTTGAGTTGTCTGAGTACGCCATGCACACTACCCACCTGAACCACAATGAGGCTCATGGTCTACCCTGAAGATGGTCTCTCCAAAAATGAAAGGCCTGGATAATAGATCTCATTTCCATGAGATTGATGTGGAGACCTGTGACCTCCAGATTTCATTTGCCACTGACAGTATCAAAGCTAGGCAACAAAGTGGCTTCCCAACCTCAGTACCTGCATTTGTACACATGGCCCTGTCTGACTGAAGTTCTTTCAGCGGTATTCCTGTTGTAAGCTAACCTTGGCAAACTGACCATGAGCCATGGTTAGGTTAACATATTTGCTTACAAGTCCATCTACTGGACAGACCCAAATTTTACTCTGCATAATGTGCTGGTAGATTTGGGTTTCTGTGGTTGTAATAGAGCAATTTATAGTACAAACAATATAGATCCAAATCTGCAGGTGCAACTATGCAATTAGATTTAAAACATTATATTTAAAAACATGTATAAATGGTATGTTAAATACTCTTAGTTCCTGAAAATTGACAGAACAAAACTGATTCAAATTTAAATAAGTAGTTATTGCAAAGTATCATTTTGAATAGCCCTTCTCAGACCATTTATCAGTTTCACATTTAAACCCTTATAAATCTGTAGAAATTCATATTTACTAATGTCATTCTCAAAATTATGAAGCACTCTGGGGAATGTTGTTCACAGGATGAAACTTAAAACTTGTACGACTTTTCATTAAGGGTCCCAAATCGCAATATAAAGCCACCATACTGTTATGTTTGAAATTCATGCAGAATTCCAAATCTGTTCAAATTTACCTCTGAAAATGATGTTCCAAATCAACCTAATTTTTAAAAAATGATTGACCCGGGATTGTTTCATAAAAACTCCTGGTCAACTTAGAGACTGTAGTACAATACTTTATAGCATTATATCTTCCACAAATTTCAACTGAATAATGGCAAGGATCATAAACTAAGAAATACAAACCTGAGTATAACATGCTAAGAATTTTGTATAAAGGTCAAAATTAGGTCTAACTAATAACATGGGCTATTCATTACATTCATGTCTTCCATTATTCCCCTTTCGGAAACAAAGCAAAAACATAATAATTCTCCAAAGCTAACTTACTTTTCCACAACGAGTCCTCTATTTTCATTTTTAACAAAGGCTAACTCATTCCATACAGCATCGCTATCCTCTCTCTGCAACTCTTTGGAAGTGGCTCTTTTCTGTTTCTTTGTAGGTTTTTTTGCCCTGCAAATGAAGAAAAACATGCAATAAAATTGTGAATTTAGTAAGCTAACAGCCCAGTTGCCACTTTTTGTACAACCATGCAGTAAAATGTGCACATAAATATAACCAAAGTTACTCAAGAGTTAAATTTATGTAACAGTGACCTACTTTTGTAGACATGGTACTGAACATGCCAGGGTCTCTCTTAACAAGAGCCAGGCATGTGAGTCCAAGGATTCAGCATGGCTGGGATTTTCCTGAGTGGAACTAAGACCATTGTAGGATTGGACCATAAGAACTGATACCAAAGCACCATGATCAAAGCCTTGCTATCTGGTACTCGAGAGACTTACCAACATAGAGCCACATACAAATCTGACTGAGTCTGTGATTATCTACGCCCACTCTCTACCTAAAAAACTGCCCCAAACAAAATTTTATTAGTGATGTGATTATGCAATTATGACTTTTAACGTAGCTTTAAAAAATTGTTCAGTCATATCGCTATGATGTCTGCAGTGTGGCAGTTTATAGTGAGGTCTAGCACTGGGGCATCACGCCGCAGACATGTAGCATGATGTTCACACCCAGTCACATTATCTGGACACTAGACCGACCAGTCCTAACACTAACCTCCTAATACTGAATGTCAAGCAAGGCGGCTGTTAGTAACATTTTTGTAAGTCTTTGGTATGACTTGACCAGGGATTGAAACCACAACCTTTCTGACGATGACACTCTAACCACTAGGCCACCAGAGCATTAAAAATTTTATTAGTCAGTGAGGCATTAAATATAGGTAATAGGAAATTTTGGCAGGATGGAATGATACTTACAGACCCTGAAATGAGTTATTTTACCATTGAAACAAAAACAATACAAACAGCACACAGAATGAATAAAAACAAAATGTAGAATGAATGCAAACAAAATTAAGAGGACTAAAATTGCAAATGCAAAATACAAAATTAAGAATAAACAAAAACAAGATGCATGTTAAATGCAATTCATGACTGGATTTGAAAATAAATTATTTTGGAGTTGCCTCCCTCTAGATGTCCTTTTGCATGCTAATCTGGGATAGGATTCTTTATACTGACAATTTTTCTCTCCTTATACAAGCTGTGACATTGCTCTTGTCAGGACAGATATTGATGAAATGACATCACTGGTGGTCACACTTGTGTACAATTTTTATTTGAATAAAACAAAATAATGAACAAAATATACTGACAAATACTCTATGATTAATTTATATATTTCTTACAGCTGTAGTACTATATTTATTTATTATGAATTTAACACTACCTGTAATATTTTCTATTTCATTAAATTACACTTTTAATAAAAGTCATACTATAAAAGCAAGAGTTAACTTCCTTTAACAATATATATATATATATATATATATATATATATATATATATATATATATATATATATATATATATTTATATATATATATATATATAAATAAAATTACAAACAACTGCAGATCTGGTAAAATGATCTATACGATGGTCTTTACCAAGATATCATCCGCAAATAAAGCTTCCCTGTTGCCAAAACTACCTCCCCATCCCAATTACCAGAATGCAGAAACTTGACAAAATGCACTGGAGAATGAAATAAATTTAGGTCACAATGATTTATGTGTTGCAAATGCAATGTATAATTAAGAAGATAGTGTTGTTTTTGGGCTTAACGCCATTTTTCAGCACACGATAGGTTATTCATTGCGGCCAGTATTAATGGTGGAGGAAGACACTGGGAAATCACCGGAAAGAACCACCAACCCACGAGAAGCTACTGGCAAGCTTTCTCACATATCCACTTTTGCTGAATCCTAGACATGAACTCACGAAGATAGAGGTGAGATGGCAGTGATCCGTAACGGGCATCGCTTTAGACCACTGCCACTCAGGGGCTCCTAATTAACAAGATGCATATGAATGCAAAGCTGCATGACTCTGGGACAATCAGTATCTGAGAAACTTATCTGAATAAAAAAACTTCACCAAGGAGTGAGAAACAAATGGACAGGCATCATAACACTATCTTCCACATTAAAGTTTAACACTATATGCCCCATGGCAGTTTATCACTATATGCCCCATTGCAGTATAACAGTATATGCCCCATGACAGTGTAACACTATTTGCTGCATAAAAACATAACACTATTTGCCACATGAAAGTCTAACACTACATACCCCATGGCAGTGTAACTAACACTATATGCCCCATGGCAATGTAACACTATCTGCCCCATGGCAGTGTAACACTATTTGCTGCATGAAAACATAACACTATTTACCACATGAAAGTGTAACACTACATACCCCATGGCAGTGTAACACTATATGCCCCATGGCAGTGTAACACTATATGCCCCATGGCAATGTAACACTATCTGCCCCATGGCAGTGTAGCACTATTTGCTGCATGAAAACATAACACTATTTGACACATGAAAGTGTAATACTACATGCAATGTAACTCTATCTGCCCCATGGCAGTGTAACACTATATGCCCTATGACAGTGTAACACTGCCACATAAAAGTATAAGATTACATGTCCCATGCCAATGTAACACTACATACCCCATGGCAATGTAACACTATATGCCCCAGTGTAACAATAAATGCTGGATGGCAGTGTAACACCATATGCTTCATGGCATCTAATATGTTTTGGAATGGGGACAATGATCCTGTATTTAAGACCATGGTGACATTAATAGTCTTTTTAGTGCTTAATAAATCCATTTTATTAGTGACATGTTCAACTTTGTAATGGTAATACATGTGTGGTTTTGGATTTTTAACATAGCTTTAACAATTTTTCAGTCAAATTGCTATTATGTTTACAGTGTGGCAGTTCATAGTGGTGTCTAGCACTGGGGTATGAAGTCGCTGACATATAGCAAGATGTCCCACCCAGTCACATTATCCTGACACCAGCCTGACCAGTCCTAACAATAACATCATAATGCTGAGTGCCTAGCGATACAACTGTTAGTACTATTTTTATATGTCTTTGGTATGATTTGGCAAGGGTTTGAACACACAACCTCCTGCTTCAGGGGCAGATGCTTTAACCACTAGGCCACCTGAACAGTGTTTGTAATGGTAAAACAGCGATTTAAATCCTAACATCCTCAAATACAAGATTCTTTACTATTTGCAAAATGAGCAATCCACTATTGTTTTGCATTTCCAAGTTTAGTAAATACTTGTAATTATAATTCTACTAACATTAAGTTTTAGTACAATTCACAGGATAACTCCTTCAGATTAAAGAAAAACATTCTTTAAAGACTTTCATGCATGATGGAAAACTGGTAAACACAAGTGAACACCTTAGCCTTTTCTAACAGACAACACGAAAATAGTATTTTAAGTAAAATGTGCGACTTTGATATAACTTGCCCAATCATACTACATTTGGAGTAAAGACCTCACAAATCCAGCTATAGAAGCTAAACAAGATGTCTTCTGGCTTGTTTTAGCAAAGTAAGTGATAAAAGGTCATCTGCTTGCCAAGGTCACACTAAAGCTGGATAATTATCAGTTAGAAAGGTAAGCACATCCAGTGATGTTAACTGTGGGGAGGACTTCCAGTGATGTTAACTGTGGGAAGGATTTCAAGAGATGTTGTTGTTGTTGTTGTTGTTGTTGAGCTTAACGCCATTTTTCAGCACACGATAGGCTATTCATGGCGGCCAGTATTAATGGTGGAGGAAGAAACCGGGAAATCACCCGAAATAACCACCGACCCACGAGAAGCTACTGGCAAGCTTTCTCACATATCTACATTCGCCGAATCTTAGATTTGAACCCACGCAGACAGTGGTGAGATGGCAGTGATCCGTAACGGACAGCGCTTTAGACCACTCGGGGCCCCTTCAAGAGATGTTAACTGTGGGGAGGACTTCTTGTGATGTTAACTGTAGGGAGGACTTCAAGTGATTTTAACTGTGAAGAGGACTTCCAGAGATGTTAACTCTGGGGAGGACTTTCAGGGATGTAACTGTGGGGAGGACTTCTAGTGATGTTAACAAAAGGGAGGACTTCCATTAATGTTAGCTGTGGGAAGGACTTCCAGAGATGTTAACTGTGGAGAGGACTTCCAGCAATGTTAACTGTGGGGAGGACTTTCAGTGATGTTTACTTGGGGAAGACTTCAAGAGATGTAACTGTGGGGAAGACTTCCAGTTATGTTAACTGTGGGGAGGACTCCCAGAGATGTGACTGTGGGGAAAACCTTCAGGGATGTAACTAGGTGGACTTAAGAAGGTGTGTGTTTTGGTAAATATCAAACTCAATGATCAACAAATGCATGCAAAGTTGGGTAATTATTGAATTAAATACCTACACGCTATTGAGAAACTTTGATGTCTGAAGGTTTAGGTCTTGAAAAGATTTTCTGTAATTATAAAGATTCAGAAGAAAACATCCAATGAATTTTAAAAATAGTGACTAAGATTTAATCTCACATCTTAAGATCTTAAACCAATGTCATCTTTAAGTAACTAGGATTTAAACCTCATTCTTAAAGATGTCAAGCCAATGCTTCAACATGCTGCAAACATGCCACTTTGATTATGTAAATATTCATCAGACAGATATGTTCAAAAATCATGAACAGCTTTTAATCAAAAACAAATTTTTTTTGAAAGTGGACTTAGTGACTAGTTTTCAGTAGTTTTAGAAGTGCAAGTAGTGACTGACTACATTTTTCTTTACTGATTCATGATGTGTGCCTAATTACAGTTTTTAGTACTGATTTAGTGCCTCATGAGTAGTTTTCAGTACTTATTTAGTAAGTGTGCCTCATAAGTACAGTTTTCAGTACTGATTTAGTAAGTGTGCCTCATAAGTACAGTTTTCAGTACTGATTTAGGAAGTGTGCCTCATGAGTAAAAGTTGCCTATCTATTGAGTACAGTTTTGAGTAGTGATTCAGGAAGTAAATCTAGTGGCTACAGTTTTCAGCACTGACTTAAGAAAAGTACCTGGTGACTACAATTTTCTGCACTGAATTAGGAACAGACCCACCAAACTGATGCTTCAATTACACAATAGTATACCATACATGCCAACCTCTGGTGAGGAAAAAGTGTAATCCAAGTTGACAAAAAGAGTAATCCAAGAAGAAAAAGAGTAATCCACATATGACTGATACAAATTCACTTAGCATATGTAAAAGATGATTTGTTTTACCACTATTGTCTTTTAACATCAACTACTGCTTCAAGTTTTTATATATGTAGCAGTTTAGATTTAAAAGACAACATGCTCTCATGTTGCATTTCAGAAGACTTTCTACCAGGTGAGACAATGAATGTTTTGCACACCAGTAAAGTACTTAGTACTAGACTACTGAGCCTGTATCTGAAATCAGTTTTACTTTTACTAACAATACTGCATAATCTCTCACTGCCAGCATTAGAATGTTAAAGAACCAATATTCCTTTAGCAACCTGACAAAGAAAAGTAAATTTATATCTTCCAGTTATTGGATCATTTAGCAAAAGAAAATAAATTCTGTCTGAAGAAGTACATTGTCAGGTAGAATGTCAACTTGATACTTCAGGCATTCTCCTAATTTATTGGCAGCCTTTTGTGCATCAAGGTGTATCAAATGACCGAGACAACCTGTGATGTACATCAAGACATTTTTCAAAATACAGAAAGCAGCTTCTTTATGAATTCCAGTTATCACTGATGCATTATCAGTTGAAAACACCATACAGTTCTGCCAATTCATATGTTTATTCAAAGCATTATCATGCAAATCAAAAATGTTTTATACTGTGGATTCGGGTAATGAAATAAAAGCAGTTTGACTTTGTTGTTTTCGTTGTCAAAGTCTCTTACACAGAATACAACTTTTTGTCATCATAATTATTGCTTCCATCTGTGGCAATACTAAATGACCTAATTTTCATGGCTTCTGCAATCTTATGTAAAGTATCTTCAGCCAAACACCAAACAATGTTAGATGATTTTGCTCTTGCACATGCAATTTTGGAATCAAGAAACGTCTGTTCGATCAAAAGACCGACATAGTCGTCTACCGCTAGAGGCGTGTTCTATTAAGAACCTCTGCATTTACAACATTCATGTCCACAATTGAGTTTTGTTACCTTAGTTACCTTAGTAGTGGATAGTCTGATGCTACATCCCTGTGTGTTTGTACTCCCCTACATATTTCAATAACCAAAATGTTTAATGTGATAAAAAGTGCACAAAACTAAGTCAATTGAATCACTGATTTACAATTTCCAATCTGACTGTGACCAGAATGGCACTAATACTGGCATCCCCTTGCACTTTTCCTGCTTAATGAACTTTCCATACTAACATGGTACCATATTCTGTACACCATGGGCTAGTTATATTTCCATCAGACAACATAATGCCATAGTTCATTCTATTCGGTAACTGCCGGAAAATTTTGTAAATTACCATAACGTTGAGTTTGGAATTATATCCCTTTGCACACATGAAAATATTAATCAAATCGCTTGTTAAATCCACGTGAAAGACAAATTTGTTGTTTTCATTCTTTTCCTTTGCTTGATTCGACATTGTAAATATCAAAAGCAGACAACATATGTATGTACATTTATAGACACTCATACACTCCTTTGCTCAAAATGGACTTGTCCAGGAACTGGAAATGAGTCTGAAGCATGTCTGTCTATTATATTGAAAACTTCCATTAATCATGAAACGCGTAGACGATAAGGATCATTCTACTCATAGTCTGGTTAGAAAATATAAATCAATGAATGAATTGATTAAGTTCCTTGCACTTTTTTTATCACATTAAAGATTTTCATTATTGAAATCGGTAGAGGGTACAAACGGGTCGATACACTCTGACTTATAATATAATTCAAGCTTTCTTTAGTTCTCAAGTGTTGCTCCACATCAAATTTACCACCATGATTAATATTAAAATCCTTTCCATACAACCTGCAATGGGAATGAACCTGCCCTAAGATGGAATGCTGTGTTATGTATTCATCTATACATTCTCTAATATTGTAGAAGCCATCTTTTCTAGAACAGCCCATAGGATTAACGAATGTTAATAAAAACAAGAAAAATTATCAATATTTTTGGAAGAAGGATATACCAAAATTGCGAAATCATATATGTTTACACATAAGGTGTAATGTAGTGAAAAAATGCAAAATGATTATGCAAAAAGCATAATGGTTGGCATGTATGGCAGTTAGGACATCTTCAACTTTACTTTCAGTAATGAATCCTGTATAGTATTTAGGGTTTTAAGTATATTTAGTTTGTATCATGTGAGTTTGACCTTTGTCTATGACTCAGAATAATAGAGTTTTAATGCACACCTGATTTTATTCTTGTTTTCAAGTTATAAACAGAAGTTTACTTACGAAATGAACATGTTTACAGTTTGGTCTTTAATGTATTTTATTGGATGATGGTTAACTAAAACTTTAGCACTCGACTAACAATGTTTTACTACCATGACCACTTCAGGCATGGGTAGGAAAAAAGGGAGGGGAAAGGGCATGGTTACAATTTAAGCATATAAGGGAGGGGTAGAATGTATGGTTATGCTGTGTACATATGATTTTGAGCTCTTCAGCAAGACATTATTTTGTTTTGACTATGCAAATTTAAACCTTATCAGGAAACTTTTCATTTACTTACCCATAATGTTCAGCTTCTAGTGTTTTGAGCTGTTCTTTCACCAGTCTATAGTTTTCTTGTACACTCTTAAGTCTTTCCAGTCTCTTACTGTGTGCCTTCTTCAACTCTTCAAGCTCACGATTCTGCAGAAAAATACAGGAAGTAACTATTACCCTACCTCTCGAAACTTATTTGAAGTTAAAATGATTTAAGCAGACCGGGTACAAAACCATTCAAAGGAGTGGATGAATGTCATATAAGAATGGGCAACACTATATGTGCCCTCTATATATACATCCATGAAGAGGAGACTAAATATAAAACCATTCCAAGGAGTGGATGCATGTATATATAAGAATGGGCAACACTATATGTGCCCTCTCTATATACATCCATGAAAAGGAGACTGAATACAAAACCATTCCAAGGAGT